AAAAAAAAAAAAAAAAAAAAAAAAAAGCCAGAGGAAAATTAAACAGGACAGCAATCTGATGTAGCCTTTTTCAACACCCACACATGCAACATCAATTGAATGTTTTTTCAAAAGCTATCAGATCTTACAGTTATCAAGTAGCAGACAAATGCTTTCATGAAGTTCAGACAAGAAAAACATTTACAGAGAACGGAAAAATTCTGCGAATGTGTCCTAAAACAAAACAGATTATGTCTCCGACTTGGATCCTAAATGTCCCCAGACTAGCTCGTATCAAAAGCTTGATCCTCAAGGAAGTGCCAAAGCCCTGAAGAGAGAGTCTTTAGTCTTTCTGCCCCTGAAGGGCAGAGTGGGACCCTGGCCCCTCCTCTTCCTTTCTTCTATTTCCTGCCACAAGGGCAACAGTTTGCTGTGCCATTTTCTCCCTGACATTACCATTTAATACCCACTGTGAGCAATGGGTCCAACCTGGTCATGGACTGGACCCCCTAAACCATAGACAAAATGAACTTCTCTTTTTATGAGTTGGTTATTTCAGGTATTATAAGAATGGAAATCCTATTAACACATTTTTAAAAATCTAAATTTTAAGGCTAAACGAATCTTAGTAGTCATAATCATGTCTTTCATTTTGTTGAGAACAAAAAAACCTAAGATTAAAATTCCTGTCCAGTGAAGTAGAATTAGTGATCAAACTGGAATTAGAATCCTAGTTTCTGGCATCCAGCCTATTTCCACAGTAAAATTACACCCTCTCTGGTCTTGTCTGGCCTCACTGTGGCCCGTGGCCCATAAGCAGACACAGGGGCTGCATATGCAAACTACCATCAAAGTCCCAAATGAAGAGCCACAAAGTAACCTGGTCCAGCCGGTTGAAACAAAATTGAGGACATGCACATAACTAATCCATTTCAACCAGATTCGTGTCCGTCTTTACAGAAGATGGTAGATAATTTCCTTTGATAACATCTGCACTGAGCTGTTGGTCATTTCTCTTGGCTTTGCTCTTAGAAGAGAAAATGACATTATTCTCCAATAAAAAGCCTTTATCTGTTGATTTGTGGCTCTTTATTTACAATATTTTACTACTTATTTGCCTGCTCAGCACAGAGCACAAGAGGAATACACTTCTGCAACTAAAAATCCCAAAGCCTCATTGCAAAGACCCTAGAGGAAGTTAGCCAAAGCCAACTCTTCCATGTGGATTTTCCCCTCCCTCCTGCATTTCTTGGGAACCTAGTCCCAATGACCTCTTTCTTTCATCAACAAGTTCTACCTCTCCCCTGGCTTCTACTCTTCTGCATGCATCATCTCTTAAAGGTAGCAAATAAAAGCAGTAGCAATATCCCATCGACCTTCAAGTGGTTGTGGTCATCTCTCCTTCCTTGATGCTTAGCCCATACTGGCTGCTTTGAGTTCACCCTCTACACAGAACACCACTGAGCCTCTCTGAGTTGACTCCTGGTCTCAACATTGGCTGCTCCCTCACCGATCCCTGGTCCTCACCATTCTCTCTAGCTCAGCAATCGTTCCTCCTCCTTGAATTCCCTGTCCTGCTTTGCTCTTTTTCTCAGTCTCCTGTACTCTTTCTTTTCCCTTTTTCATATCCATACATGTAGGATATCCTCCAACACCTGGGCCTTAGTTCTCTACTCTTCCCCTTCTCCATCTTCTCCCCTTGGTAATTTCATCCATTCCTAGAGCACCAGGGAATTCCCCTGGTCTCCAGGGTGGGCAGGGCACACCCAGGCAGGAGGATGGGCAGCACATGCACTGAGGGATGATGAAAAACAATGAGCTCTTTCATTTGCATTGATCTTATCTGTACATATAACAAAGAACTGAAGCTTTATAGGTTGATCTTGGCCACCTTGTTAAATCAAGGCTGTGTGTTTCCAACATGGCAAGTAAGGCATGATGAGGAAATAAAGGAAGCATATCCAGACATTGATTCCTTCCTATTTCAATTTACATATGTCTACAAAGTAATAAAGCAAGCAGTACTTATATTATCTTGTTCTAAACAAACCAAGCCTTTCCAGTGGATTCCTGAAGAGACAATGAAGACCACAACAAAAGCACAAGCAAATGACACCTCACCCTGAACCCCCCCCAACCAGGTCCTGGTGAGAAGGGAGGATGGGAACACTGATTCAGTCACAGCAGGAGAGCAGGTGCAGATACCACTCAGGCCAGTGATGGCTCTGTTCCCTCATCCTCCCAAACACCTGGATCAAACAACTGGAGCCACACAGCCCAGTCTGTATCCCCCCTAAATCCTGAAGGCAGCCCCACTCCTGCCAGTCGCAGCACTACCACTCCACTCCCAGACCCCCTAACACTCCCAGCTCAAGTCCTTCTCCCGCCTGGGCCATCATCACCTTTCAAATCCAAACTGTTCTCCAGAGGCAGATAAGTGTCACTTTTAAAGACTTTTCCACTCCATTTCATCCTCCTTGACTCTTCCCCATCCTGTCCCCACAAAACATAAAACATGAAAGAAAGCAAGAAAGGGGGAAATAATCCAGCTCTCCCCAGGCCCCCTGGCAGAATCCCCGCTTACGTCTGAGTTTCAGCTCAGCAGGGCTCTCACTCTCCTACCTCCCTCCTTCCAAAAAATCTTCCAATAGCACAGTGTCAGCTCAATTTGGCTTTGCCTTTTCCTTCCTGGATCACTGAATGAGTTCAAATTCTTCTGTTTCAATGTTTGAGTCCCTCATGATCCAGCCACTCCTGTCAACCACGAGTGCTCCTTTCTGGTCAAGTGCATCCTGCTCCCTATACAAATGCAGCCCACTTAGCCCCTGTTCTAACCCTAGCAGGCCTCCTTGCTCACTTCAACACCTCCCTCCCTTGGTTTCTGGTGTCTTCTTCACTCCCCATCTCGCCTCCAAATTCCTAAACCATTCTAGAGTTTCAGACAGTTTCTTATATTATGGAGTTAACAAAGATTTTCTTGGGGGCTTTTGGGAAAATATAAATTACAGGCCTTCTGTCTTCAATGGTACTTCACTGTGTACTTCTCCTGTCCTCCACGCCTTCCCTCTGTAGTGAGCTGTGAGCCCGTCGCTTACTCAGTGCCTGCAGATGACTTTTCCCTCTTCTGTGTTGGTGACACTTACTTCTTCCCTGTTTTCCTACCCACCCATGCATGCACCACAGATCTCCCTGGTCACTGATAGTTTCTCAAGCCTGCAGCTTTGTCTCGTGCTCCCCATACATATTTCTCCACAGTTCTGTAATATCTACATGTTTATAACTCCCTTTAAAACCAAGTCCTGAAAGATAAGC